CCCTCTATGCCCTTGGCAAGTATCACTCTGCACCTCCGGTGTGGGCGGGGCCCTGAGCAGGTGCAGGTGGAAGGGAACAAACCCGCCCCAGAGCAGACCTGGGCTGGGGCCCTGGCTTCCCGCCCTGCCCCAGCCACCCACTGTGTCCTACAGGCAGTTGCCTGCCCCTCCGTAGTGACAGGCCCATCCCTAACTGGGCGGTGAGGACTTCTCCCGACCCGAAGTCTTCAGACCACGAGAATGCTCCTGTCAAACGATCTCGGATGGAAGTCCACACGGAACAGAGATCAGAGAGCGGCTGCTCTCTGGTGGAGGTGGGGTCGGGCTTTAGGGGTCGGGGCCCAGGGCCTTGCCTGCTCGGCCTATGCCCCCCACCCTGCCATGGCCCTTGAGACCCTCCGAGGACCTCCCACTGTGTGCCAGGGACTGGGCAATCCCTGCACACACACCCCCGCCCCGCCCCCCAGGTAACGCAGGCCTGGGGCAATCCCCGTAGGCTTCCTGTAGGGGTAGTCGCTGGGCTAGACCTTGAAGGACAGAAGAGGTTGCTCAGGGCTGCAGGGGGAGGGGCCCTGCCTGGCGTAGACCCGGCCCCTCCTCCCCCAGGCCTCCTGCTGCCCTGGCGCTGGCTGGCAGTGGCCGGGGAGGCCCCGGTGCTCACCATGATCCTGCTGCTCAGCGTCATGCCCAACTCGCCGCGCTTCCTGCTCTCGAGGGGCAAGGACGAGGAGGCGCTGCGGGCACTGGCCTGGCTGCGCGGGGCCGACGCCGACGTCCAGTGGGAGTTCGAGCAGATCCAGGACAACGTCCGGAGACAGGTGGGGGAGGGGCAGGGCGCCCAGGCTGACAGACCCGCCGCGGCCCCCAGCCCCGTGTGGCCCTGGCCAGTCACGGGGCCTTCCTGAGCCCCGGCCGCTCTTCCTGGAAAACAAGGGTGATGGCTCCCGCCAGTCCAAGAGCCTGGGGCCGGGGGCGGGCGGCCTGTCCCCAGAGCCCGGCTGCCTAGGGGGCCGGTTCTTTCCTGGAGGAGGGAGGGAGGGGCCTCTCGCCCAGCCCCGGGCTGGCCAGGGCAGGGTGGCCCCCGCCAGCGAGGACGGCAGAGCCACCCCAGCAGCCGCCTCGCATTTCCAGAGCAGCCGAGTGTCGTGGGCCGAGGCCCGGGACCCCCACATGTACCGGCCCGTTCTCATCGCCCTGCTGATGCGGCTCCTGCAGCAGCTGACGGGCATCACGCCCATCCTGGTCTACCTGCAGCCCATCTTCGACAGCACCGCCGTCCTGCTGGTGAGCGTGCCCGCACGCCCGCGGCGCCCGCACTAGCTCCAGGGACTGGGAGCCTCGGGGCACCCCCGACCCTGCATGAGCACCTGCCCTGTGCCAGGTGCCAGGGGGACAGCAGATCTGCAGTCTGTGCCATGCACCTGCTCTCAGAATGTTTTTAAGTCACGTTTAAATGTTTTAAAAGAAAATACAGGCCGGGCGCGGTGGCTCACGCCTGTCATCCTAGCACTCCGGAAGGCAGAGGCGGGAGGATTGCTCAAGGTCAGGAGTTCCAAACCAGCCTGAGCAAGAGTGAGACCCTGTTTCTACTAAAAATAGAAAGAAATTAATTGGCCAGCTAAGATTATACAGAAAAAATTAGCCGGGCATGGTGGCGCATGCCTGTAGTCCCAGCTACTCGGGAGGCTGAGGCAGGAGGATCGCTTGAGCCTGGGAGTTTGAGGTTGCTGTGAGCTAGGCTGACGCCACGGCACTCTAGCCCGGGTGACAGAGTGAGACTCTGTCTCAAAAAAAAAAAACAAAAAACAGAAAGAGAATACACAGGACCCCAAAGGAAACCAGGTCATAGAGATTTGGACCCTCGCGACGGTGCACCCAGGTTCAGAGCCCCTGTGGCCTCTGCCCTTGACGGGAAGTCACTTCCGCTCTCTTCTCTGCAAGACAGAGATAGCAGCCAGGCTCCACTGGGCTGTGTGAGCTCCGAGCCAGATGAGATTTGAAGATTAGTAACAGCACAGTTCGACAAGTTGTTGTCTCGCCTGGGTTCTGTGCCAGCTGGGCACAGTGGCGGGCACAGATGTGCCCCTGCCCGGGAGGCCCCGAGGACCAGGGCAGGTGTGCCAGGAAGGTACCCGGCACATGGTGGGTGCTCGCAGCCTGATACCCCAGAGGAGCCACGACCGCCAGGGCTGTGGGCCTGAGCACCCTGCAGCCCTTGGGGACAGGGCGGGGCATGGTGGGGGGACGGAAGCAGCCAGCGGGGTGTCTCAGCCCCGGTGGCCCCACTCCCTGCAGCCCCCGCAGGATGACGCCGCCATCGTGGGGGCCGTGCGGCTCCTGTCTGTGCTGATCGCTGCCCTCACCATGGACCTCGCCGGCCGCAAGGTCCTGCTCTTTGTCTCAGGTGAGCGCCCCTGCCCCAGCACCCCCCTGGCTCCTCCGCTGCTGCGTGGTCAGCCCCGCGGCAGCTCCCAGAGCAGCAGCCAGCTCACAGCGCCCTGGCCCACGAGGGCCGCCCGTCTGTCCACAGCGGCCGTCATGTTCGCCGCCAACCTGACGCTGGGGCTGTACGTCCACTTTGGTCCGAGGTCGCTGCCCCCCAACAGCACCATGGGCCTTGAGAATGCGCCACTGGGGGGCCCAGAGCAGCCCCTGGCCACACCCACCGGCTACCTCACCCTGGTGCCCCTCCTGGCCACCATGCTCTTCATCATGGGTAGGTGTGGGTGACCCCCACGGCCCGAGGTGTGGGTGACGTGCACGGGGGTGGCTGGAGAGGGGCCTGAGCCTGCCCCTGCCCTCCCTGGCAGGCTACGCCATGGGCTGGGGGCCCATCACCTGGCTGCTCATGTCTGAGATCCTGCCCCTGCGCGCCCGCGGCGTGGCCTCGGGGCTCTGCGTGCTGGTCAGCTGGCTCACCGCCTTCGTCCTCACCAAGTCCTTCCTGCTGGTGGTGGTGAGTCTCAGCCCTGGGGACCCTGGGGAGCCTGAGGCCCTCTGCGGCCAGTCATGTCCCCCGCGCGGGCCAGGAGCTGTGCTGAGGACTTGTCCGTTAGGCCATCGGTCCCTCGCGGGGTGTGATGAGCACACACCCCTCAACGCCAAGGCCAAAGGCAGTCAAGTGACAACCCGGCAAAGGCCCTCATTACAAGAAACAGGAAGGAGCCTGGGGAACCTTTCTGAGAAGTCGGGTCATCGCCCAGGCCAGGCAGGACACAGCCCAGCCGCTGCTGGGAGCCAAGAGAGCCACACCCAGGGCCACACCCCACGTGCTCCATCTCCCTGGCAGTTGTGGGCACTGGTGGCAGTGGCGCGCCCTGGGCACACGGGCACACTCCCCCACCCCCTACACACAGCCCGGGTCAAACCAACAGGCCTGAGACCAGCCAGGCCCCGAGTCCCAGCTAGAGGTTCCCACGAGGCAGAACAGACCGGGCCACTGGGGCCAGCACCTGGCCTGGTCCGCTCAGTGATTAGGGCAGGCCAGGTGGGGGCGGGGCATTGCCCAGAGTGCTAAGTCCACCCGTGGTGGCCCAAAACAGCACGCCCGGCCAGTCCACACTGGCAGCCTCCCTCGGGCTGGAGTGCTGAGCACCAGGGCAGACGCAGTGCCCGCGCTGGGGCCTCGGCCCTGCTGCCAGACAGGCGAGGAGTCCTAAGCCAACCCCAGACGAAAGTCAAGGCCCAGAGACCACGCCGACATGTCCGGGCTTTGTCCTGGGGCGTCTCTGGGCAGGGCGAGGACCAGGCGAGGCCCCCACACATCCGGCAGATGCCAGCAGGGCCCACGAGCTCATCCTGGGGTGGGACGTCCCTGGGGCTTCCCCGGTGTGACCCAGCACCCTCTCTTCTCCCCGCAGAGCGCCTTTGGGCTCCAGGTGCCTTTCTTTTTCTTCGCGGCCATCTGCTTGGTGAACCTGGTGTTCACCGGCTGCTGCGTGCCCGAGACCAAGGGCCGGTCCCTGGAGCAGATAGAATCCTTCTTCCGCACCGGGAGGAGGTCCTTCCTGCGCTAGGCCCGCACCCCCGCCTGGGGTGCCAAACCGCCGGGCAGCCAGGCCTCTGCATTGGCCGAAAACCGGCAGCCTGGGACCAGGAGGCAGCACAATCCCTGCTGCCGTCAGAACACGGGAGGACCCGCCGAGGGCGGCCCGGGGCACGGCTCCCCGCTCTCGCCAGGCAGCCCGCTGCCCGGCCCCAGCCCAGGTGGCCCACGGCGGCGCGTCCCGGCACTTCAGCCAAGACCTGCAGGGAGAGGAGGCAGCCACGGGCCACCAGAGAACACACAGCCCGGCCCCGGCCAGGCCCTGCTGCACAGCCTGGGGCCCGTCCCTTAGTCCCGTGGGAAGGACGCTCCCCACAGAAGGCCGTGGCGAGGACAGAGCAGGGCTGGAGGCGGCGACGTGACAGGCACACGCCCCGTTCCCATCACGTGGCCGCCTCTCACCTGCGGGAGGAAGACGGGGCGCTGCCCCCACGGGAGTCTGCAGTCACCCCGGGAGACATCCGGCCTTCTCAGAGCCAGGCACAGGACCCAGTGCGGCCACTGCCGCCTGCCCAGCCAGCCTCTGGGAACGGGGGTCTCCCGTCTGCAAACTGTGTTCGCCCTATTTATACAAATAAAGGAACCAGGCCTGCAGCCCCGGAGAGGAGGGAGTGGGGTCTATGCAGGACAGGGAGCCCCTCGCCAGCAAGCAGCCAGGCTAGACGCCAGCTCTGTCCCGGCTGCCAGGCAGCGGGGCCCTCTGCCGCCTCAGCCACGGTGCAGCAAAGGGAGGGGAGAGGCAGGGGGCCTGAAGGGGGCCCAGCCCGGCTCTTAACACTCCAGCCCTGCCCAGCTGAGTGGCCTTGGGCACGTCACTCTCCTCATCCCAGATGCTGAGCAGGCTCAGGGCAGCACCTGTGCTTATTTCCTGGGCCTGCAGCCCCTGCTCAGCTGGGCTGGGGACATCCCTACCAGTCCACATGGGGGCCCCCAAGGCAGACGACAGGGAGCAAGCCCGACTTCAGCCCCACTTTATTGCTCAAGACACAGGCCGAACAGTGAGGGGCACACAGGCTCCGAGGCGCAGGGCAGAACCTTAGGCAGGGGCGGAGCCCTCGGCCATAAGGACAGACATTCCGGCAAGGCGGCACCCCTGCCGATGGTGCTTCTGCTGGGAGATGGGCCCCAGGACCACACAGCTCTGGGCTCACTGGGAACCTCGGGCAAGTGACCTGCCCACTCTGGCCTGTGACCGAGGGCCTGTCCACCTCTGCACCCAACCCCATGGCCTGCCCAGCACCCACCCAGCTCCCCCACAGGGCACGAGTGTGACCTTCCTGACACACAGCCAAGCCCTCCTCCTGCTGCCAGCGATGCTCCTCAGGCAGGGGCCGGAGGGACCCAGAGCCCCCACCTGGGCAAGAGGGGGCAGGCGGGCCTTGCCCCCCCAGGAGGTAGACGGGTCTTGTGCACTGCACACTCGGAGGAGACACACACACACACACACAGGTCTCAGCACTGCACACTCAGGAGACACACACACACACAGCCCTTTGAACCCAGCAGTGGCCTGGGGAACCCTGAAGGCACATGTCCCACCGAGCCGGCCACCATGGCCCTGCCACCTTGGGGCTCGCCAGGCCAGATCCCCGGAGGGCTGCTAGTGACGCAGGAGCCCACGGGTGAGTCCCCAGGGCAGTCGTGAGCAGGGCCCGAGTGCCCCCTCCCAGCCTGGGAGCCTGTGCTCCTGTCCCAACGCTGCCGGGCACAACAGGTCCTGGGAACGGCCCCGGCACAGCGATGGGGCTGGTGTCTCCACAGCAAGGCTCAGTCCCTGAGCTCTGGGAGCCCAGGGCCCGGGGCGGGCTGGGGCTGGGCCCAGAGCAAGCGTCCTCCACACCAGCCACTCCGAGGCCCACCCGGCAACCGGAGGAGCCCACAGGCCCAGGGCGGATGGGATCCACTTCCAGGCAGCACCTCTCCCTGCATGGGCCTTGCTCCCGGTGGCCTAGCACACAGGGCAGTGGGGACAGCTCTCTGTGGTGGGTGACTCTGGCCTCTGCCCTGCTCCGAAAAGGCAGAAGTTTCCTACAGAAAGGGCTTGGGGGCAGGCCGGCAGGAGTACCTGAGGTGGGGGCTTGGGCCACTGCTGATGTGGCCGGACCACGCCAGAACGGTGGGGGCCCTCGTAGGCGCCAGGGAGGGCCTGCTCTCCCCACTTCCTTAGCACCAGGGCGGGGGGGAGGGGCAAAACCTAGTGGCCCGAGCCAGGCCCGTGGGAGGTGGGGCAGCAGGGTGTCCCGGGTGGCTCGTGTCCAAGACTCCAGGGAACGCGGCAGGGAGCACCCCCACCGAGCTGTCCCGTCACTGCCGAGGCTGCTCAGGACACCGCCCTGCCGTCCCGGGCCCCAGGGCCTCCACCTGCCAGAGGGCTGGGCCAGCCCCTCTGCCCAGCACCCAGGCAAAGGACCCAGAGGCGGGCCCCGGCTGGACGTGGGGGAGCTGCCCCAGGCCCGGGCAGCCCGGCAGCGGTGCTGCCCACGGTGCGAGGTCCACAGAGCTGCTGGGCGGGGAGCGGGGCTGGTGCCCATGCTGAGCTGCCGTGGGCTCTGTCCGGCCTGCAGTCCTGCAGCCGGGCCCAGCGCAGAGTGGAGACCGGGCAGACGGGGGACTGGGGACGGGGCAGAGGGTGCCTCCGCCGGACTGTCCTCTGGGTCGACGTCCAGGCCTCATCTGGGTCTCACACGGAGCCAGGGGAGCGCGTGGGGGAGGGCGCCCGCCCGTCACAGCTCGCCCTCCAGGGTCTCCGCCAGCTTCTCCTCATCCGCCTGCTGCCTCTGCTGCTGGATCCTGGCATAGGAGATGGCGTCGCCCCTGGGGAGACAGCGGGGCGGCGTCACAGGGCCCCCGGGCATCCCAGCCCCTGCCCGACGCCCGCCCGTGCCCCAGGCGTGGCCCACAGGCACTGGGATTTCCCAGAGACCACTGCCGGGTGGCAGAGGGCTGCCTCGTGGCCTGAGACTGGCATGGGCTGCCTGGGACGCCAGGCTGAGCAGGCATCAGCGTGCGTCTCGGGGGCGCAGGAGAGAGGGCAGGAAGGGGTTCTCGCGAGCCGCGCATTTGCTATCCCGGCTACGGGCCGCGACAGGGCGAGACCCGGCCACCCAGAGGTCTTGGGGGTCCTCTCGCCTTCGTGACCTAGAGCTGAACACCCGGAGAGACTGAGGAGTCTCTGACACCCTCCGCGCCTATTTCCACCACTGGACAAAAGGGGCCACCCTGGGGCCCCGAGACTTGGGGGGGCAGTGAGGGCAGCCCCCCGGGCTGGGACCCGCACACGCACTTCTTGCCCAGAGCGGAGAGTCCGTACAGCACCCCCGTGGCAAAGGCGATGGCGTTGCCCAGCAGCGTGGTCAGGGTGAGGCTGATGACGACGGGAACCACGGCCATCCTGGGGGAGGAGCAGACGTCACGGGGCCGCCCCACCACGGCCACCGTCCTGCCCGGCTCCCCCGAGTCCCCAGACCCTCCCAGACAGCAGGGGGCAGGAAGGACCCCCAAAATCGACCGGGACACAGGTTCACGGCCAGGCGTCACAGAGTCCTCAAACACCCCTGAACGTGTCTGCAAGATTCTGCACGCTGTCTGGGAACAGAACCCGAAGCTTCCATCAGACTTTTGAAAAGGCCTGTGATCCCGAAAGGGCTAGCCAGTCATGAGACGGTGGAACACCCCCACTCTTCACCCTTAGCGGCCCAGAGAGAGGCTGTGGCGGGAGAATCTGGCGTCCTGCCGTCCCTCACCGGCCAGGCGCAGGTCACTTTACCTCTCCGAGGCTCAGCCCCTCTCCGTGAAGGGGGTCAAAGGCCGAGGGAAGGCTCGCCGACCACTGAGCACGCTGCCCAGAGCCCCGCAAGCGCTGGGGGACAGCTCTGACCAGCACAGCACGCCGCCACACCTCGGCCAGCAAGGGCCCCAGAAGTCAGCCCAGCACGGCCGGCCGGCGGCTGGGCAGCTCCGGCTGGGCGCTGCGCCTGCCCGCCTCGCTGCCCTCTGGCGCCGCCTGGCGGCGGGATCCCCTGGGGCCTAAACACCGCGGGGCCGGGATTTCCAGGCCAGCGGCAATTCCTGGGCTGACTGGGCCCGGAAAGTCCCGGTGACCTGGAGACCAGGACTCGTCCGTCACTTCCCTGGAGGAGGCCGCCTGTGCAGGAGAATGGACTCTCAGCCACTGCCTTCAACCTGGATTCCCATTCTCATGGGACCTGTGGTCATGCCATTTTTCTGTAGTTAAAAAAAAAAGGTCAAGGCCGGACGTGGTGGCTCACGCCTGCAATCCCAACACTTTGGGAGGCCAGGGCGGGAGGATCCTTGAGCCCTTGAGGATCCTTGAGTTGGAGGATGCTGTGAGCTGTGATTGTACCACTGCACTCTAGGCCAGGAAACAGAGCAAGACCACATCTCAAAAAAATTTTTTTTCAAAATAATAAAATAATAGAAATTATAAAGAAAAAGAAAGACCATAGGAGGAAAAACCAGACAACACAAAATTAAAGGCAGGCCAGGCGTGGTTGGCTCATGCCTGTAACCCCAGCATTTTTGGAGGCTGAGGCGGGAGGATCGCTTGAGCCCAGGAGTTCAAGATCAGACTGGGCAACATGGAGAGACCCCGTCTCTGCAAAAAATAAGAAAAGCCAGGCGTGGTGGCACGCACCTATTGCCACAGCTACTCAAGAGGCTGAGGCAGGAGGATTGCCCCACGGTACTCCAGCCTGGGCGACAGAGCTAGACACCATCTCTTTAAAATTAAAAAAAAAAAAAGGCAAACAACAGACTGGAAAAATATTTGCAGCAAATATAACAAAGGATTATAACATCTTTAATACAGAAAACACATATCTCTTGCTAAGTAGAACACTAAGATTCTAAGAGGTTAAAAAGAAAACCAAAAATTTTTTAAATAAAAAAATGCCATTAGAACATATGGGAAAATATTTTACCTCATAGCTAACAAATAAATAAATACAAATGTAAACACGGTCTACGGCACTAGGTAGGGGCCAGGAGAGAAATGCAAGTGACCTCTTTGGAAAGTAATTTAGTCACACATACTAAAATCTTTCTAATGATCATAACATAATCTTTGACCTAATAATTCCATACCTGGAAATAAATCCTAAGGAAATCACAAACAGAAAAAGTTTTAGCTGATGGAAGTTCATCACAGTTCGTCTTACACCATGGCGAAGAAATTAAGAAACCCATGATATAGCCACTGAATACATGTTCCTGTCAGTAAAGGTGATGTTTCATTATACTAAGTGAAAAACGGCAGGACACAAACTTATTTACAGTGGCTTTAACTGTGAAAAACAGGCTTTAAAAACCTCCTTAACACAGGATGGGCACACATCAGCAGGTCAACAGGCATGGGGCTCTGAGTAACAGTTTTTGATTTTCCCAATTATTGTTAATGAGTATGTATTTCTGTGGCATTTTTAAAATGGTGTTTTAAAAACCCGAAGTATACAGTGATGCACACAGACCAGTACTCTGTGACTCTGTATTCCTCTGTGACTCAAATACCAGGGACACCATCAGAACTCAGCAGGCACCTGTGCTCTTGCTGTCAAAACTATTGGGTCTCCACAAAGACAAAGAGAGCTTTGGTCTGTATTTACTTCTACAAATAATATAGAAAATAACAAATATTGCTGCTGCTGCCAGCCTCCTTTGCACCTGGCATGTTCTAGGATCTTCTATGTATTAAAATTTCTTTTTTTTTTTTTTGGACATAAGAGTCTCACTCTGTTGCCCGGGCTAGAGTGCTGTGGCGTCAGCCTAGCTCACAGCAACCTCAGACTCCTGGGCTCAAGCGATCCTCCTGCCTCAGCCTCCCGAGTAGCTGGGACTACAGGTGTGTACCACCATGTGTGGCTAAGTTTTTTCTTCTTCTTCTTTCTTTTTTTTTTTTTTTTTTTTTTTTTTGTAGAGACGGGGTCTTGCTCTTGCTCAGGCTGGTCTCGAACTCCTGAGCTCAAGTGATTCTCCCACCTCAGCCTCCCAGAGTGCTGGGATTACAGGTGTGAGCCACCGTGCCGGCCCCATGTATTAAACTTATCTTGAAATTGGTTCTATGTTATGACTCACATGTGAGGTACTACGTATTGATTTTGTTGTTAGAAACAGGACAATTGTTTAAAAGCGTATTTAGGACACAATGTTTTCTACTCTGCCCCTCATTTTTCCCTTCATGCCGGGATATCTATTTTGACCACACGCTTTGGAAGGGCTGCACGGAAGCATGTCATACGGCCCTACCATAATGTTCCTACCATAACAATTCCCAACTGTCAGACCCAAATTCCAGAGGTTTCCCGTGTCTGCATGTGGCATGTGACGCTGCAGTTCACGCCCACATACCTTTGCACTCTCACGTGACTGCAGTGCCGCCGGAGCTAAATTCCCAGGTGCAGAGCTGCCGGGCACCTTTTCTAGCAGCCATCACCAAATTCCTCTGAAATGAATGCACCTGCTCCCCGCCCGCCCGCCCCAACACCCTCATCTGCCCTCCGGGCCGCGTGGTCGGCAGGGTTCCGGGGAACCGCGTGGCCGGGCCCGGCAGGCAGCCCCTCACCCGCAGTAGAAGACAGCCTTCTGCCAGGCGCGCAGCCGGTCCGCCTTCTCCGCCACCATGTTTGCAAACTCCACGAACTGGCAGCAGAAGGGCGCCTCGCACAGCAGCAGGACAAAGGCGTTCATGCTGGAGGGGCGAGGGCGAGAGACAGCAGCCACTGACGATCCTGGGATGGTGAGGGCGGCCCCCAGTGCCACCAGGAGTGCCGCCCTCCTTCCCCGGCCCCTCCTGTCACCCCAGCTCCAGGGCGCCTGCTTCCCCCTCCAAGAGCCTCTGCGGAACTCTTCCCCTGTCCCGGCACGCCCAAGGCCTGTCTCCCCAGCCCAGCTGAACACTCCAGAGGGCAGAGCCTGGGTCTGCGCTTCCCGTTCGCCTCTTCTGCGGCAGCGGCTCTGCTGCAGTCAGTGCTGTCACCGCGGCGGCGCTGGAAGGCTCCCCCCAGGAGAGGCAGAGAGCGGGGCCAGCCAGTCCAGTCGCTGAGGGCTGACTGCCCGAGCTGGGGAGCAAGGAGCCCAGCAGGCCCTCTGCCGGGACCCCGAGTTGGGCTGGGGACAGCTGCCGGTGACTGAAGGCGTCTGCGCCAGTCTCTGCTTCCTACTGGTGGATAACAGTTCCCTGACACTGGGCTGGTCAAACGCACCAGGCCCTTACATCTGCCCCCAAGCTGTCTTTCCCCGTTTGACAAACAACAAAGCTCAGGCTGCCCAAGAGCCCGCCCAAGCCCCAGGCAGGAGGGCCAGGCCTCCAAACGCCCCTAGGACTCGGCCAGTCTGGGACTCCACCCCTGAAGCCCGGCCTGGTGCCTCCGGCCAGCACAGGCCCTGGGGCCTACCGCAGCAAGCCCCCAAGTCCCTCCGCTGGCCCGAGGTCCCTAAGGGTGGGACCTGCGTCTCGTCCACCTCTGCACCGCCTGAGGACACTAGCAAATTCTTACTGCACAGACACTTCCTGTGCACCTCAAGGGGTCCCATTCGGCCACAGCCGCACTGGCCTGCCCCACCCACCTCCCTCCAGCGGGACGGAGCCACCCCCGCAGGAGGACTCCCATGAGGGACTCCCATGGGGGTGTGCTGGCCGCTGGTTCCCATGCCAACCTGCCCCTCCCGTCCACCCCTGGCTGGCTCACCCAACACCGGGCTGGATGGCCCTGCCCCTCAGCCAGCCCCAGTGGCCAGTCTCCATGCCGCAGCCCTGGGAGCTCCCAGAGGGCAAAGGCCCCACTGCAGTGGGCTTGGTGTCCACACATGCGACTCAGTGGACACTCAGGCAACGTGTGTGGCCTCAGCCCTGCACCCAATAAAGGCCTGGGGGGCATTCCCTGGCCGTGACCCCTTGTGAAGAAACCCGGACACAGGGCGGGAGCGTGAAGAAGACCCACACCTCGGCCGGAAACCCAGCGCCCCGCACCCGCAGGCAGGACAGCCACGCGCTACTCACATCATCCACACGCCAGCCGCGATGTTCAGAGGGTGGATAGTGACGCAGTTGAAGAGGCCAGAGATCGCACAAGCTTGAAAGCAAGAGACAGGGGCGGGAATGAGCAGGGAGGAGGGAGAGGCCTGCAGGGAAGGCCGCCCAGGGAGGTGGCTTGAGAAATCTGGAGCATCCCTAGGGACGCTGAGCACCCGGTTCTCGCAGCACCCAGAGGTCCCCCTGTCATCCGAGACAGATGAGGCAACATAACTGCTCACAGGTATGGACAAGACTCAGAGAGGTGAAGCGACTTGCCCCAGGCCCCCAGCAAGGTGCTGGCCAGGCTGCAGGTGGCTCTTGGAGCTCGGGAGGCCACAAGGGCATCTCACCCGCCCTCCATGCCAAGGCACAGAGGAGCCGGCCCTCTGGCCCCAGCTGTACAGCACCCAGAGGGCGGTTAGGATCCAAGAGAGACTGTCTCGCAAAGTTACTCAGTCCTCAGTAAGTGCCACCTGTCACCACTCACGGGGCTGGCCACACGAGAAGTCCTCTGACTCGGAAAACGTGGCTTGGATTTTGGCCAGGACAAGGGGTGCCTCTCTTGGAACAAAGATCGGAACCAGGTAAGACCAAGTGACCTTGGGCACGTTCTCTTCATCCTTCTAGGCAGCTTTCCCCTCTGTACATGGGCAAGTCCCACAGCCCGGCCCGCCCACCGCCACAATACCAAAGGGCCCTGACGGACACGATGCGTCCTCTTCCAGCCCAGATGGTGGCTTCGCTGACACCCGAGTGTGGCACCTGGACTTTCCTCGACCCGCAGCCTACAGCCAGCTTCACAAGAACCCCAGGGGCCCTCGAGGCAGGGCCAGGGAGCTGGCAGTGGGGAAGCCGGGCCTTCCGAGGCAGCACAGCCACCAGCTCATTAAACTTGCAGCAGCTCTGCACCTGATCCTCCGACACGGGTCAGGAATTCTGCCGATTCCCGTGTAACCCTATGCAGGCGGCAGGCGACAGGCAACGGGAGGAAACCAGATGAAGTGAGCCCCGAATGCAATGGCACTGCCCCTGTGTGCCCCCAAGGTCCCCTTCTCAAAGCCAGGACTCAAAAGTGGCACCTATCCTCAGCACATCCTTAGGAACATACGCAACAGACGGCAAGATTCCCCAGAGCCACAGACCTCGGGGGGCTGCCCTGGCAGAGTGCCCACTGGACAGGGCTTCTCCCCACGAGGCAGCTGAGCCTGGCCTCCCCTGACGGCGCCTGCCTTCCTGCTGCAGTCAGCAGGTTGCTGCCAGCTCCAAGCCCACCCCCGCTGTCCCTCCCACAGCCAGCCTTGGGGGAGGACCAGGGCTCAGCCCCACCTAGCCGGCTCCAGCCAGGAGTCCTTTAACAACAAAGGGCTTGAGATGTCCACTCAGGGGTCTCGATACTGGCATTTTCCACGTGAGGGGAGTGTCACCGTGCAACCATCTGCCTCCAGATGCTCTTAGGACTCCAGGGAAAGGCCACCCGCCCTAAAGGAGGGCAACCGGACCCAGGCCCTGTTTGAATTCCTGCTGCATCTCTAAAACACCTACATTCTACCTTGTATACAGTATTTGGTATTCACATAACAATGCCCCCAATCCGCAGGTGAAACTGACAATTCGGGGCGATGCCTTAAGTTTAGCTTCTCCAGAAGCTGCATCCGCCTGTAGGCCCCACACAGCACGGGCACCCCTGGGGCAGGCACAGGTGCCCCTTGGAGAAGCACAGACTAGGTGGGATTCCAGGGTTAACCTGGGGGTCAGCAGGGCCACTGACCAAGACGGAGGGAGGGTGGTGGCCTACAGGACACAGTCAGGACCTTTCCTTTCTCCACCACTGACGAGTGTCACCCCTCAGCACCGCCCACCGCAATCCCTAAGGCCCGACCTTGAGCCCACCAGTCTCTCCTGCAGAGCCAACCTCGTGCTTGCTCTGAACGGCAGGGACAGGACCCGGGCCTGCCTCACCGCTGCCGCTGGATGAGGGCACACCTCGCCTGACAGCACACTCTAACCTGCACCGCCCCGCCTGAACCTCCTTCCGCCCTCCACCCGCCTGGCAAGACTGTGGGACTCGAAGGTGACCCTGAGAGGAGGTCCCCTCTGGCAGGAGAGCTGGTGGGGTCTGCCCTGTCCAGGCCCCAGCGGGAGCCAGGCAGGCACCGTGTAATCCCTGCAGACTTCCTCAACAGACATCCCCTTTCTAAGGCCTTGCACCGTGCGCTCTCCCCTCACATCATTCAGACAACTTATATTCGCCTTTGGAGGCCAGTGTCTGTGGCACTGCGGTCCCCAACCCCCGGGGCCACCGCACGGCACCGGAACCGAACCGACGGCATCCCCGCCCGAGCTCCACCCCCTGCCCTGTCCGTGGAAACGCCGTCTCCCGTGAAACCCGGCTGGGTGCCGCGTTTGCCTTCCTCGCGTCCTTGGGCTCGTGTGGAAGACCACCCTGGCTCCCGGGAGGGAGCGCCCGGCAGTGACGAGGCCCCGGGGGAGGCCGTCGCCGCAGCTCCCGCGCCGCGCCCCGAGCCACCTATGCCCGGCGCCACCGGACCTTCAGGACGCCTCCAGCCGGCCAGACCCGTCCCCGCCCAAGGCCAGGCAGGCCACCGCCCGCGCGCCCCAGGCCGCAGGGGACGCGCACCCGGCCCGCACGTGCACGCCGCCAACCGCAGCGGGGCCGCCGGGTGCAGGCCGGCGCTGCGCTCCCCGGGGACCCGCTCCCTCCCGGGGTTCCCGGAACCGCCAGCCCAGCGGGCCACGGGGCGCGGGCCCGGCCGCAACCATGGCAACCCAAGACGCCGGCCCCGCCCCGCCCCGCCCCGCCCAGCAGGCCGCCCGCCCGCGCCCCGCAGACCCCGACCCGCTGGGGCCCTCCCGCGGGGCGCGCATGCGCGGCGGGCCGGGTACTCACAGACGGCCCCCAGCACGCCCGACAGGCGACACAGCCAGCGGTACCACCATGTCATGCCCTCCTCCTGCGCGGGTGGCGCGGAGCTGGCGGACGCCGACGCCGCCCCGGCCGAGCCGCTCATGGTGCCGCGGTCCGGCGCCGCCCGCGGCCCTCACAAAGGGCTCCGGAGCCGGCCGCGTCGACGCCGGCGCGCGGCCTTGTGGGAGAGGCGCTCATTAGCATAGGGGGCGGGCCCGCGGGGGCGGTGCTCATTAGCATAGGGGGCGGGGCTGTTGCGTGGGGCCGCCCAGGCGGGCAGACGCGCCCCGGGGGACCAGGTTCCCGGCTGCGCAGGGCGGTGCTGCCCGCGCACCCCTCGCCTCTCCTTTCCCTGCCCGGGCCGCTCACGTCGGGGCATAGCCCACCGCCCAGGCGTCCCCGCCCTGCCGTGGTGGGTTGCCAAGCCGGTTCCAGCAGGTCATGGGAAGAAAACGCAGCCTAAGTGCACGTTTCCTTTATTGTGCCCGAAGGGCTGGGGGTGCCTTTCCAGAGTCTCCAGCCCCGCCCCCAGCCTTCTGGACGCTGGAGAAGACCCTAAGCCTGGAGCAAGTCAGAGTTGGAAAGCGGAGGCCAGAAGTCAAGCCTCCAGGCCTGGCCAGACGCCTAGGAAGTGCTCGGCAACGGTGGATGTACGGGAGGGGAAGCTAAGGCAGGGCCAACGGTGGATGTACGGGAGGGGAAGCTAAGGCAGGGCCCGGCCCGGGCCCAGCCGCTGGTCCTCTTCCCGCGCCCGGGGCTGGAGGGCCCAGTACCGGCCCTGCAGGCTGGCCCGCGCCTCCAGGAAGCCCTGGCTGAACTCCATCTCCGCCTGGCTGCCCTCTGACTCCCAGTAGAGCACCTGCGGCCCGTGGAACGTCGTGGTCTTCAGGCTGTGGGTGTCCCGGATCTGGGAGGAACGGCCGGGAGGTGACGATTAGCCAGCGGTCATGGAAGCCGTAACCTGCAGGGTCTCAGCATTCGGGATGCTCACTAGAGCCCTATCAGGGGGACACTATTATCCGACCCAGAACTCTGACCTCAGGGAAGTTATGTCACACACACACCCCAAGGACACAGAGCCAGGGTGCCAGAGCGGGGATTTGGGCCCGATCTGTCTGATTCCAGAGGCTGCCTCCCCTGGGGCGGGCTCGGGGGCCAGTCCTCCCAGGACACACAAACCCAAGGGGGAGCAGCTCTTCTGGCAAAGTTATATCCGGCTGTAACGGGCAGCCTACATCAGAAAAGTTGTTTTCTATTGCACTCTTTCAATAGGTCAATAAACATTTATTGGTGACTGAGTGGAGGAAAGTCTCTCCCTCCATTCTTTCATTAGTGATTTTTAGGGTTTTGGTCTGAAATAAACTAAAAGGGTCCCCTAGCCCAGCACTCCCTGTGCCATGGCAAAAGCCAGCCCACTTCTGTGCCCGTCCCGGTGTCCTCACCGAGATGTAGCTGGCATTGGCTCCCTCGGTCCCAGTGCCCAAGCCCATGGCCAGGGCGTGGATGGCAATCCGGGCCTGGGGGGCCACGTCGATGAAGAGCCGGCAGCCCCCTGCGTTCCTCCTATCTGGACTCAGAGAGGGGCTCACGATTTCACCCCAGGGTCCAAAGAGCTGCCTGTCACATTCTGCAGGGGACAGCAGGTGGGCGGGGTGGGTGTGGGCCACCTCAGGGACACAGGAGCCCAGACTGACAGCTGATGCCAGAGGCCAGGGCAGCTCAGCTCACAGCCGGGGACAGTATGGTGCTGTGGTCGGTATGGGGACTCCCAGGCAGAAGTCCCCTTGAACCCAACCTCTACCTCTTCCTGGCTAAGTGACTTTAGGCAAAGACTGTATGCTGAGCTTCAGAGCCCCCCTCTGTAACTGAAGCAAACCGTGGCACACTCCGGGCAGGGGGGTTGGCAGGAGGACTCAGTAAAGCCACGCCTGCAAAGTGCTGGACACCGAGCCAGGCGCCAAGGATGAGTTCCAGCCATGTCAAGCGTCCCCATCACTAGGGGTCCACTCGAGCCCCACCTGCCTGCCCCTCCTACCCTCCCTTGAGGCAGGTGCCTGCTTGCGGGGCAGCTGGGGAGAAGCAGTACAGTGACAGGGGCTCTTGCCCTCTGGCAGCACCCAGCAGCGCCCGTGCACCTGGCAAGCGCGTGGAGCCACGGCCCGAGGCATAGGGTGGGGACGTGGACCGAGTCCCACGCCCACCCATCCTGCTGCACACCCCCGGGAGGGAGGGATGCAGCGTCCATCTCGGGGCCTCATCTTGACCACCCGTGCGGACCAACACTGGCCGCCTCCGGGCTCCTCCCATCCCAGTCAGCTCCCCCCGTGTCTTGCCCGCTGTCGCCGACAGCACCCAGCCACCCCCCTGCCGGGCCTGGGCTGCCCTGCGGGAGGTGGGGTGCGACCGCTCACTACCTCTGTGCACGGTTCTGCCGGCAGGCCAGCTCCAGTACCGCAGCACCACTCCGCCCGCCCGCCTCGCGCGGCGCTGCCTCACCAGCAGCGTGTTGGTGTTGGGGCTGAAGGTCTTGCCGGGCAGCCCGGTGCACGACTGCCTCCACGCGAGCCGGCCCCAGAGCAGCAGCGTCTCCCCTGGAAGCCGCGGTGCAGTGAGGCGCCGGCCCCCTACTCGGCGCAGCAGGAGGTGGCTCCAGGGTGACTGACCCACCATGGAGTCCCGACCCTCCCATCACTGGCTCTCCCACTCACTAATCTCTCAGTTTCCTCATCCGTGAAATGGGGATGGCCACGCCCTGTCACGGGGGGGGGGGGGGACCGTGCACGCCCTTGTCACGCTGGCCCCGGGCAGGGCCCATCACTGACAGCAGCTGCCGGTGTGGGCCTGGACATACCAGCGCTGCAGTTGAGGGAGCTCTCGAGGACTTGGAGGGTCACCACCTCCCCCAGGGGCCGCCCGATGGCCACCGCACAGTCTGCCTGCCCCGAGCCTCGCAGGTCAATGGTCCCGGCTGGCTCGAGGTGCTGCCCACCGCAGGCACCTGGAAAGGCAGCAGGAGCGCAGGTGAGCAGAGCGTGCGGGTTCCGGCAGGACGGGGCTGGGTCTTTCCATGCTGAGGAAAGAGACTGGAGGTGGGGGTCGGGGGGTGGGGACCACATCCTCCCAGGCCCGGCTGGAAGCTTGCTCAGGTCAGGGGTGTGCGTGGGTCAGAGGGTCAGCATCACAGTGCAGATGTGCAGATGCTGAGTGCAGATGCCCCAGCAGCGGGGCAGTGCGTGGGGCAGTGCGTGGGGCAGTGCGTGGGGCAGTGCGTGGGGCAGTGCGTGGGGCAGTGCGTGGGGCAGTGCGTGGGGCAGTGCGTGGGGCAGTGCATGGCTTTGCGTCACTCAGACATGGGTTTCCCACTCTGAAGCCTTCAGTTCATTTGACCTTGATGATGATGAGAGTGACTTTCCCTTTGCCAGGTAGGAAGGGGGCCGGCCCTGCACCTGGCCTCCAAGGCACGCCCCTGCAGCCCACTACACGCATCCTGGGGGGCCAAGTGCCTGCCCTAGCTCCCACGGGTGGAGACGCCTCTGCCCGCCCCTCCTGCGGACAGCCTCCCGACAGAAAGGAGGAAGGAACGTAACTGGGCCGCGCTGGGCTTTCCCGGGGACTGGGCAGGAGCCGCAGGGGCTGGGGAGCTGGGGAGCGGAGGTGGGCCCAGGACTGGGGCCCCTCTGGGGAAGCCACAGCAGCAGGTGCCACTGTGGTCTGGCCCAGGGCAGCGGCTTCCTCATGGGGCGCTGGGCGGGGTGTCCCCTCCGCTGCACAGGGCCCGGCCCAGCAGCCCCGCAGGGTCACGGGCTTGGGCAGGTGCTGGCAGAAGTTTGCTGGCACCGGCGCCCCAGCTGGGGGGCCAAGGCAGGTGTCCTGCCGGCTCTGGACGCCATCCCCGCAGGAGACGGAGCACTGCAAGAGAGGGAAGGCGTCACGGCCAACCCTGCCAGAGGACAACCATGTGTCATCTCTGCACCACCTGGGAGGCAGGCAGGTGTCCCCATTCCACAGAGGCAGAAACTGAGGCTGAGAGGTAACCTTGCGTGGGTCACCCTCTAACCGTCACCACTGAAGCCTCTCTGCCTCTCCAGGCCACAGGGCAGGGGCCAGGCGCTTGGCGGTGGGACCCTCTCCTTCCATACTGCCTGTCACTGCCCGCCTGGCTCTCATCCCCACTGGGCCAGATGCCCAGGCCCTTGTGACAGAGGCGGGTGGTGTCCACAGAGCAGGCCTCAAGGCTGTGGCTCGTCTCTGTCTGCTGCACCCCTGTAACCCCCCCTCCAACTGTGCATGATCCCCTCCAGCCTCGCTCACCTCTGTCCAGGTGCTGACGTGCCACCGGTAGGCACAGTCACCAACAAGGCAGGGGACGCTGGCCTGGGGCCGCACCAGAGCTGCACAGGCCGCCTCGTCCACCTCCGTGTCCCGGCCGCGGTCGAGCTGCACGCAGGCCACCGAGCGCCTAGCAGTGCCGAGGCCACAGCTGGCCGAGCAGGGGCCGAGGGCCGTGACTGTCCACCTGCAGGAGGAGACCCAGAGAGGCTCCCTGCCCGAGTGGCCTCAGACAGTGCCCGGGCAGGCCCCAGGCCCCCGTCCACTCACGGGGCCACTGGCTCAGGACGGTTCCGAAAGGCTCTGCAGGAAAGGGACCGCTTTCCCCTTAGCTGGGGTCTCCCTTCGTCCCCTCTATTGCACAGCACCTGTGAACACCCCACAGAGCCGCCCGCGTGCCCCAGGGTAATGGGAATCAGATCTGCCGCCAGAGGGTCATAAACCCGTCCGTGGGAAACGGGGTTATCCAACGAACGCCGCTCGCTCGCCAGCGATTTGGGAAGGAAACGTTTGGTCCCTGCTCTGCAACGTCTCCAAATAAGTCACAGACGAGTTAAGGGTCTAAATTTAAATGAACTGTTTTCTGCGACGGTGGGTTTATTTATGTGAAACTTAGCAGGCAGGAGGAAACCTGGCGGTGTGGCGCCAGCGACCGAATCCGGGCGGGGGAACATGGTGGACGTTTGCTACACGGCGTAGGAAAGGATTTCATAACGAAAACCGCAAAACTGCAAAAAGAACCCGTGAAAGAATTGTGAGGCCGGGCGCGGTGGCTCACGCCTGTAATCCTAGCACTCTGGGAGGCCCAGGTGGGTGGTCAAGGTCAGGAGTTTGAAACCAGCCTGAGCAAGAGCGAGACCCCGTCCTCTGCTAAAAATAGAAATTAATTGGCCAACTACAAATATATAGAAAAAATTAGCCGGGCGTGGTGGAACGTGCCTGTAGTCCCAGCCACTCGGGAGGCTGAGGCAGAAGGATCGCTTGAGCCCAGGAGTTTGAGGTTGCTGTGAGCTAGGCTGACGCCACGGCACTCTAGCCCGGGTGACAGAGCAAGACTCTGTCTCAAAAAAAAAGAATTGTGAGCGAGGTAGCAGAGTCCTCCCCCACACTCTGGCCCCCACGGGCTCGAGCACTGGTCTGGCCTGTGTCCCTGCTGGCCAATCCTCTGTGGGGGTAGTAGAGGCTCACAGCCTCAGGGCCCTCGTGGCCGTCAGGGCCTACCCAGCCTGGTGGTGCTGGCACCTCCCCCTCACCTGGCACAGCACAGCTGTGACCTGGGCCGCTGAGCTGCCCTTTGGTCCCCACAGCGGCTGGCCTGGCATGGGCCTGCCCCAGGAGTGCCCCTCCCGCCGTGCCGCCAGCCACCCACCTGGGCGGGCAGGGCTCCGGGCTGCAGGCCTCCTGGGGCTCTGGGCGAGGCAGCCCCCGGCACTGGGCGTCCGGCAGGATCTCCTCGGCACCGTCCTCCGCCTGGGCGCGGGCACAGTACAGGGTCCTCCGCACGACCCCGCCCCCACAGCTCACGCTGCAGGTCGCCAGCTTGTACCGCCACCTGGGGCAAAGCGGAGTCAGGGAGGCCACACGGCCTCCCGCCTGCAGGGAGGAGGCTGGTGGCCCATGGGAGGCTGCCCCCCAGGTCAGACTGCCTCCGCTGCACAGCTGGCTCCCCACACTCACCGGGCAGGGCAGGGGACGGCGCGGCAGACCTCCCGCCGGCGCCCGGGCTTGCTTGCCGCCTGGCACAGCTCCTCCTGCACAGGCACCCCGAGGGCAGAGTCCGTGCACAGGACACGCAGCTCCATCACGCCTGCAGGGAGGAGGCAGGGACCCCCGCACCCCAGGAGGTGGGCTCAGCAGACCGCAGGCCCCGGCTTGCGGGACGGCCCTAGCAGACAGGGCGCGAGGGTTTGGGTCCGCCTTGCAGAGCCATTCAAGGTTTTAGAAGGGGAGGTGAGAAGTGCCTGGCGCACAGTAGGTGCTCAAGAAATGGCAGCCGCTGCTGTTGTTTATTGAGAGGCATCGTAAGAATTACGATATGAAAGTCTTTGACTGTGTTTATTATAAAGGTGTAGTTAGGGCCTCAAATCTCTCCTTTAGGAGAATCCTCAAAAGAAATCTCTTTCTGGTCTTTGTTCTAAACAGGTTCAAGTTCTACTGAGCGAGGAGTTAGGGTTTTGGTTAAGAACACTGTGCACCATCTCACATTAGCCATTAGGGCGGCCACTATCAAATCACAGGAAGTAGCGAGTGTCGGCGAGGACATGGAGAACCGGAGCCTTGTGGGCCAGGGCGGGGTGTGACCGGCGCAGCCGCTGCGGAAAGTGCAGCACGGAGCCACCGTGAGAGCTGCTGGGCCACTTCTTCTTTTTTTTTTTTTGAGACAGAGTGTCGATTTGTTGCCCAGGCTAGAGTGAGTGCCGTGGCATCAGCCTAGCTCACAGCAACCTCAGACTCCTGGGCTCAAGCGATCCTCCTGCCTCAGCCTCCCGAGTAGCTGGGACTACAGGCATGCGCCACCATGCCTGGCTAATTTTTTCTATATATATTAGTTGGGCAATTAATTTCTATTTATAGTAGAGACGGGGTCTCGATATTGCTCAGGCTGGTTTCGAACTCCTGACCTGGAGCGATCCTTCGCCTTGTCCTCCCAGAGTGCTAGGATTGCAGGTGTGAGCCACCGCGCCCGGCCTGCTGGGCCACTTCTGAGTGCGTGCCCCAAAGAACTGCCCAACCCGAGAACGCCGGGTGAGCAAGAACACCGAAAGCAGGAACTCAAACGGATGCCTGTGCGCCGTGTGCACGGCGGCACTACGCATGGCAGCTGGCGTGTGGTAGCAAGCCCCTCGTCCCTCCCTGAGCGGGCGGCCAGCGAGCGTGCTGGGACGCACCCCTGCCACGGGATGTCCCTCAGCTTTAAGAACGAGGGAAAACCTGGCACGTGCCACAGTGTGGACCAACTCGGAGGACATTTGCTCATTGGGACGAGGCAGACACGAAAGGACCCATGCCGTAGGATTCCGCTCACACGCGGTGCCCAGGGTCATCAAATCCGTTGAAACGGAGAGTGAAAGGGAGGGTGACGGGGGCTGGGAGGCGGGGACGGGCAGCCGGTGTTTAACGGGGACACGGTATCAGTTTGGGAAGAGGAGAGCATTCTAGGCATGTGCTTGGTGCCACTGAACAGCTCCCTTGAACGTGGTGAATGAAGATGGTACCTTCCATGATGTGTGCATTTTACCACAATAAAAAAAATTGTAAAAACAAGGCCAGGCGCGGTGGCTCACGCCTGTAATCCTGGCACCCTGGGAGGCTGAGGCGGCCAGATTGCTCGAGGTCAGGTGTTCGAAACCAGCAAGAGCGAGACCCCGTTTCTACTATAAATAGAAAGAAATTAATTGGCCAACTAATATATATATATGTATAGAAAAAATTAGCTGGGCATGGTGGTGCATGCCTGTAGTCCCAGCTACTCGGGAGGCTGAGGCAGGAGGATTGCTTGAGCCCAGGAGTTTGAGGTTGCTGTGAGCTAGGCTGACGCCATGGCACTCACTCCAGCCCGGGCAACAAAGCAAGACTCGAGAAAATAAAAAAATAAAATAAATAAATAAATAAAAATTGGAAAAACACAAGGGCGCTGCGTGTCTTGAAGCTAACATGGTCTCTCTGCCCAGGACGCCAGTGTGGGGCCCCCCTGTCGCCGTGGCTCTGCTGGGCCACCAGGAATACGCCCTTGGCGCCAGCGCTGCCGGTGTGACCGTATCGCCCTATCTTTTCACCCGATGGCCACACCTCAAGTGGCAGCCGGACACTTTGCCCCCGTCTCCTTGTATGTCACCCTCATGCTCCGACAGGGCTTGGGTTCTAAGCCACTCAAAGGCTTCTCGGAACTGGGCCAAGCGCAGGCGGGTGAGGGGGTCAGCAGTGAGCGCCGTGCTCCCTCACCTCGCCCGCAGGAGGCGGAGCAGGGCCCCGCCACGGGGGTCCACACGTGGGCGGCAGGAGCCTCCGGCCTGGCACTGCGCGATGCGGGAGGGCCCTCTTCCCCCGGAGAGTCGGCGCCCAGCTGCAGGGAGGGAACAACGAGTGGGGGTCTGGGATGCCACCTCCAGACCCCTGGGCACCCCCACGCCCTGATCTTTTCAGGAGAGAGCAGGGAGTGGCACGGGACTTGCCTCCTGGGCCCCCAGCCGACGCCCTCACCAACGCCCCACCTTTGCCCCTTGGCTGGCCCTGCCATCCCCACCAGCCGCGAGGGGCGGGGGCGGCCAGCACCCCGGCCTAAGAGCAAGGCTGAATGGATCTCTTCCTCAGATGCTCCCAGCAAGGTGTGTGGCTTGCCTGGCTTGCCTGGGAGCGTGCCAAGAGCGCACTGTCTCTGAGTTGAGCCTCTGGCCGGGCTGGCCAGCAGACAGTCGCCTGCAGAAGGACAGTGTTCTACTCTGGCCTGCAGGATGGCGGCAAACGGTGCCCCTCTTTCTCCCAGCCAGGTAAGGACCCAATAGCCCCGGCCGCCCTCGTGCCGGGGCACTCACCTCAACAACAGGTGGCCTCTCTCCTGTGGGGCCGGGCCCCGCGGTCGCTGGGGCCTCCGAGCCACCCGCCCCCTGCACACACGTCACGTTTGTCACACTCTCCGAGGCCAGGCCTGCTCCGCCGGCCGACGTGCACGGGCCAGGGGCTGACGTCTCCTGCCTGAGGACAGCACGGGACAGGCATCACGCCCTGCCACTGCCACCTAGCTGTAGGTGCAGCCCAGCTCCTAGGGGCAGGGAGGCAGTGAATCTGCCCCCCAATGTCCAGGAGCCCAAAGAGGCAAAGCCCAGGGGTCTTTCTCCGACATGCCGGTTTAACTGCCTCACTCATCGGCCTCCGGGCTCCACCAGGCAGCTCTGCGCTCGGCGGCCAGGGACCCGCCTGCGCCCCGTGCAACGAGACAGCCCAGCCCCTGCCCTGCAGACGCGAAGGGGCCTCCACCCAGACGACCACAGGCCCCTGCACCACGGTGGTGCTAGTGGATTATCAGGTGCCACGTGGCATCGAATCCAGGCCTGGGGAGGGCAAATGGTCTCAGATCCAGGGGGGGGGGGGCTGCCTGCAGTGCCGTGTTCAGGGTCCTAAGGCTACCCCAGGCCTCGGCAAGAAAGAAGAGAGGCGTGTGCTGTGTCTGTGGGGACATGAGAGTGGAAAAGGGCCCAGAGCCACCTGTAGGCCACCGTGGTCTGACCCCCTCCCGCTGGACAGATGACAAGGCTGCAGCCCAGAGAGGGAGGGGACTTGCCCCGGGCACCCGGAAGGTTGGCGGCAAGGCAGGGTCATAGCCACTGTCACTCTGGACACTGAGGGGACGAGAGGCGGCCACCTGGGCACCATGGAAAAGGTGGCAGTGGTGACAAAGTGACACCTACTGCTTTACACTGACGGTGTCACCTTGTCCCCATGCCCTTCCCTGGGAGGGTCCTCGTCCCCATTTCACCACAGGGGCTCGGAAGTTCAGAGAGGGACACGCCTGGCCCTGGTCTCCTGGCTGACAGGCTGTCCTGAAGCCGGCACTCGGAGCCCCCAGGCACCGCTGCCCTGCCAGGGTGGTGGGGGCCGGCCAGGCACCTCGGGAAGAGGGGACACTCCGAAGGGGTGGGGCTCGGTGCGGGACAGCCCTGCCGGGGGCTCACCTGGCGGGGCAGGGCTGGGAGTTGCAGGGCTCCACCTCCGGGGCAGGCTGCAGGGCCACCGCCGCGCACCGGGCCGGGGGCAGGGTCCTCAGGAGGCCGCCCTGGGCCTCCACGCAGCGCAGTGGCCGCTCCCGCAGGCCTCCCCCACAGGAGGCGCTGCACGGGCCGGAGGCTCCAGCCACCCAGCTGAGGAGAGGGACAGGGCGTCAGGCCCCTGCCCAGGTCCCCGCGCTGGCCCGGGGGCAGGGTGGGGGCCGGCAGGGCTGTCCAGCCAACTCTGACTGGGCCCTGCATCCTCCAGGTGTGAGAACGCCAAGCACGTAAGGCCAGCCCAGCCTCTCTAGGTGTCCCCGGGCCACCCTGACCGACACCTGGGCCCGAGCACACCTGCAAACTAGTGCTGGCTGGCGGCTGCCCCAGTCTCGTGCCCAACAGGGATGGCCTGTCCCTAACAGTTTGTCCCTGCTGAGGGCCAGCAGCGGCCGGAGCTTCCGCCACGAGCTCCCCAAGGCTTCCACACAGCCCCCTGGGGGGGGGGTCATCTCCCTATTTGACGAGCACCTGAGCTCAATGGAGGCTCAGGCTGCCCAGAGAAGGTGACAGTAGGGGCGGGTCACACCGGGCTGACACTGGCACCTTGTCTACCCTGGTCTCAGTGTCCTCACCTGCAAAACGGGGGCACTCACAGAGCCCCCCCTCCCAGGGTCATCAGGACAAGGGCAGCACCCACAGAAGCTGCTCAGCCCGGCCCGCACCTGAGAGCCCAGGAGCCCCAGCGGGCACTCCCCCTCCCCCACCCCACCCTGGGAGCTGCAGAGACAGCACCGCACTCACTATGGGGGGCAGGGCGCAGGGACGCAGGCCTCTGTCCACGCCGGCGGCTGCGGGCTCCCTTGGCACCAGGCAGCCTCCACCTGCTCCTTCCCAGCCTGGTCCAGGCAGCTGTAGGTCACCCAGCGCCGCCCTGGGAGGGGAGAACAGGGGCTAGGCCACCTCCATGCAGGGGCAAGCCACGCCGCGGGCCAGCCTTCCCCAGGCCTCACCTGCCCCACAGCTCACCGAGCAGGGCCCGCGCACGGCGGCCCACGCCCAGGCCTGCTGCGGCTTAGGCTGGAAGTAGGAGAAGGTGATGTCCGGGCGGGTGAGGTCGCCATACTCCTCGCTGTACCGCCTGTAAACCTGCAGAGACAGATGGGGAGCTGCGGGCCTCGTCCAGCGGGCTCCCTGAGGGTCCCTGTCACAGCCACCTCCCCCACGACGGCCCCGGGCTTTCATTCCTCCATCCCTGCACCCTTCTGCTCAGCAGGCTGTCACCTGCACTGACCGCACCAGGCTCTGGGGACACACAGTGGACAGGACACTGAGCCTCAAGGAATTCTCGACAGGTTGGGGGGCTTGGGGGGGGTGGCAGGTAATTACTCAGCAATTGGTAGGTTAGGGGACAGGGTATTTTTTTTTTTTTTTGAGACAGAGTCTCACTTTGTTGCACAGGCTAGAGTGAGTGCCGTGGCGTCAGCCTAGCTCACAGCAACCTCAAACTGCTGGGCTCAAGCGATCCTCCTGCCTCAGCCTCCCGAGTAGCTGGGACTACAGGCACGCACCACCATGCCTGGCTAATTTTATCTATATATATTAGTTGGCCAATTAATTTCTTTCTATTTATAGTAGAGACGGGGTCTCGCTCTTGCTCAGGCTGGTTTAGAACTCCTGACCTCGAACAATCCGCCCGCCTCGGCCTCCCAGAGTGCTAGGATTACAGGCGTGAGCCACCGCGCCCGGCCAGGGGCAGGCTATTTTGATTTCGAACTCCTGACCTCCAGCAATCCGTCTGCCTCGGCCTCCCAGAGTGCTAGGATTACAGGCGTGAGCCACCGCGCCCGGCCAGGGGCAGGCTATTTTGATTTCGAACTCCTGACCTCCAGCAATCCGTCTGCCTCGGCCTCCCAGAGTGCTAGGGTTACAGGCGTGAGCCACTGCGCCCGGCCTTGGACAGGGTATTTAGAGAGCACAGAGAAGTGTCCCTAAGTTGACACTAATGGTGGCGGAGGAGTGGCCGTGGAGGTCAGGAGGTCCTGCAGGCAAAGGGCAGAGGCCAGGGTGTTCCAGCACGGGGCCCGGGCGAGGGTCTGGGGTGAGACAGCACAGCTCGTGCTTCTAGAGCGGAGCTGACGCCCGTGGGGTCGGCCGGAAGGGACTGGAGCCCCGGGGCCTCATGGCCGGCTGGCGGCCTGGGCTCGGCCCTGAGAACGCTGGGAGGTTTCCGCAGGCGCCTGGGCCTGTTGGCACTTCGGGAGGGTAACTGGGTCCTGTGCCCAAGGCCGGCCCAAGAAGGGGCCATCCTAGAGGACAGAGCCCAGTGCGAGGTGACATTTGACACCTGTCCCCACGATGGCCACATCTGGCCACCCACCGCAGGCCTCTGTTTGTTTGTTAAAATAGGGCTTCTCGGGCCCTGCAGGGGAAGTCCTGACTCAGTGGGTCAGCAGAGGGGCCAGTGCTTTAACCCACGCTGCAGCCGGCATTTGGGGAGGACAGCGTCCCGGGCGCGGGGAGCGGGGTGAGCCGAGCCCTATGGGAAGGTGGGGGCTTGTTCTGGCCTGGCCTGCACCCCTGGGGGCCCCTGCGGCCTCCGCCAGCTGCAGGGGCAGAGGGTGCTGCTAGGTCATTGTCAACAGGGGCCCCTCTCCAGGTGTTCCCGGGACGACTTCAGCCCGTGCTGGTTTCTGCCCGCCCTCCAAGTGTGTCCTCAGCAAAGCACGTGTGGGGACACACGCAGGTGTGTGCACATCACACGTGAGGACACACCCAGGGGAAGCCTTCCTGGGTTCCCAGGTGGGAAGCTGCAGGCCTGTACCTGCTCCTGCACCCCGGCCCAGGCGCCCACTCCCCGCCCTGCACACAACCCGCTGGGGCCGGACCCTCCTGGTCACCCCTCCTGGCTGGTGCTGCTCCCGGGGCCCCTCTCACCCACGCCCATGCTCCAGGGCCCCCCGCGGAAACGCCCCTGCGTGAACGGCCCTCTAAGTGACCGCCGAATGAACCAACGAGTCAGGGGGTGAGCAGATGGACAAGCCGACAATCACAGTCACCCAGAGGGCCCCCCGCCAGCCTCCCCAGCCCCTCTGGTGACCTGGATCTCGATGGCCTCCCGGAGGGGTCCCCGGATGCGGATCTCCTCGAGGCGGGGCAGCCGGTCCTCGGTGAGGGCCACCGTGTACTCGACTCTGCTGTCCTCCAGGACGGAGGGGTAGGTGGTGCTGGGGGAGAGGCTCGACTTCCCGGCCACAACGTAGCGCCCGCCGATCCTCACTGCTGCGGGGGACGGCCCGTAAGCCCCGTGGGCCGGGCGCCAACCCCCCACACCTGCAGGTGGCGGGCGCCACCCTTTCACTCAGTCCCGGCTAAGGCAGGGATGGAGCTGACGGCAGGGCCGGGGCGAGGGGGGCCTTCCGTGGACAGGACAGAGCCCCCACGGCCAGGTCCACGGCTCTCCTCCCCAGGGTGCCCCTCCTGAGAGCCCCACGCATCTGACCCCAGAAGACGTCCCCCGGCGGGGCCTGCACCTCTTTCCGGAACCCAGCGAGGGCCGTGACCTGCTCCCCCGCCAGACACACTCCCACACGGCACTGACAGGCGGGTGCGGGGCTCAAGGACCCTGGGCAAGCATCCCCAGCCCAGGATGCAAAGGCCAGGTGGGGACGGGGGCTGTCTAGCAATGCAGCCCCGCGGCGCGGCCGTGCCCAGAGAGAGGCCCGGTCTGCGCCGCTGGCCTCCAAGAGGGAGCACAGGCCACGGCGGAAAGAGTGTCTTTGCTCCCTGCCAGGAAGGCTGAGCATGTGGCTCAGGGCGTGGCTCAGGGCATGGCCCAGAGGCTGAGATTATGCACATGGGCCCCCAATCCGTGAATCCATCCGTCAGCCACGTCTGCATCATGGAGCCCAGGGAAGACTCTGAGCGCCAGCCTGTGACCGTCCAGGGCCGGCAGAGCCCCGTGTGCGTGGCCCCCCGCTGCTGTCAAAAGGGCACCCCATCCCCGAGACCCTCCCAAATACCACCCCGGGCGTCTCTTCACTCGGGGGACTGTGACCCGCGCCCTTTTCCTGGGTAAGCGCCACCACCAGCTCGCAGCGCCCAGTCAGCCCGGGGGTCGCCCAGCCGGTTATAAAGCAGGCGGGGTGAGAGGCGAGGGCACCCGGGGACCGTCCCTCCGCCTTCGCCGTCATGCTGGCTCGGGGGGACATCCTCGGGCCGCTCACCCAAGTGCGAGAAGAGAGGCCTGCGGTTGGCGACGTACACGCTGGTCAGGTTGGGCGTGACTGTCAGGAACGTGACGTACTCTAGGTAAAGAGGCACGGAGGGGCGCGTGGGCCTCACGGTCCCCACGTCACAGCCACAGGGGCTGCCTGCGGCTGGGCAGGGGACAGCTGACAATGCCACGGGGCTGCCTCTGGCGGCAGGGAGGCCCCTGTCACAGGGGGCGGTCAAACCCAGGCTGCAGGGCCACCTGCAGGTCCTCTGCTGACCCTCAGAGCACTGACACTCGGGAATGACCCCTGACCCCTTGCAAATAAACCGAAGCAGAGGGTTGTGCACAGGCGGCACAAGGTCCACGGCTTTCCTGCATCACAGCTACAGGCAGCGACCGTCACCCGGGCACTAGGGTCCCAGCGGAGGCACCGCCACCAAAATCAGCCTGCCACCGAAGGCTGGCAGAGAGGAGGAAGCAGAGGCTGAGCCGGGGGCGCCAGCCCTCCACCCGGGGTGTGGCCCTACCTCTGGCTCTCCCGGCCGTGAAAGAGCCGTTCCGTGGGCTGCAGGTGCTGTTGTCGCCTCCGCACACCTGGCAGGCGTCCCACGCCCGCTGCGAGTCCATCCTGCCGTCGCAGCCAAACGCCTGTGCAGGGGGAGGGGCAGGGGCCGTGTCCCTGGAGGGTGCTGGCCTCAGTGGCACCGTGGCCCTGCCATCCGGAGGTTCTGGGGTACAGGCAACCAACCGCGACACGTCTACAGCCCCGGACATCCACACAGACAGTGGGCTGGGCGGGCTCCAGTGGCTTCCCGGGTCACGGTGTGGCCCTTAACCCAGGCTGACCCCCAGTCCGGTCCGTGCGCCCTGCACCACGCCCCAGCACGCCGGATTCTACCGCAGCTCTGCCAGGGCCGGCACCCAGCGACCTGCCCCCAGGAGCCTTCCCACGGGACAGGCAGGGCTCGGGGCTGGCTCCACTGCCCACACACGCCTACCCTGCAGCTGCCCGACACGCACAGGCTCAGCGCCCCATCCTCCCGGGGGCCGCCGGGCACACACCGGGTCCCGTCCAGGAAGCTGTCTCCCCGTCTCATGATGAAGCTCTCGCCCACGGCCCGGCACATGTGTCTGCACAGAGCGTCCCCTGACGGGACAGAGGGGACGAGAGTTCCTGAAGCCAGGAGGGGGACAGGGAGGGCCGGGCCCTGCCCCGCCTGGCCCACGTGGGCCCTCACCCCCACCAGCCCCCTCCGTCCTTTGCATGTGGGGCAAGGGTTTCGGTTGCCCCCCGCCCCCACCCCGCCCATCCTGCCTCCTGGCGGTAACTGGATAAACTACCTAGAAACTAACTAACGGCACAGAACTGTGGGAGGAGGAAGGCCCGCGGCACCTCTCCCGCGCCCTCTCCCTGAATCCCTCTAGCTGCCCAGGAGGGAGAGCCTGCTGTCGTCTCCACTGCACAGATGGGAAAACCGAGGCTCAGAGACGGGACGTCACTGCCACAGTGGTGGGACATCCATGGTCCATGGGATGCCAGAGCCGGAGCCCGGGCCCTGATCGGACCAGCACCAGACTGATGGGCAAACCCCCAGCGGCTCTGCCTGCCCGAGGGTCCCCGGGCCCCACCTTGGCTGTGCTGGGCGGCGGCGCCCCAGCGGTAGAAGGTGGCGGTGCCCGGGGGGAGGAGCAGAGGCTGGGCGTCGGTCTGGGCGCACTGCTCCGACATGAACTCCAGCTGGCTCCTCTCGCAGGCCTGGCCGGGGGGGAGGCAGAGCACAGGAGGGGGCAGGGGTCCCTGTCACTGGGAGACCCCGCAGTGCCCAAGTCAAGGCGTCGGTGCGGCCTCAGCTCCGGGCTGTGCCTCGGTTCCCCGCTTCTCGAACCGGGGTGACAAGAATGCCAGCCTCTTGCTGACGGGAAAACTCCGGAGGGTTTGAGAAGGACACGGGGCAGCCAGGAAGAGGCACGGCGCTCGGAACCGCGGGCGCGCGGCACGCAATGAAGGAACCGGGGAGATTGCGATCCTCACTGAGTGGGTGTGCCCAGGGCAGGTGTTTAGAGAAACTGAGGACAGTCAGGGACACGGGGCTTCGCCAGAAGAGCCTGCACGGCCCGGCAGGTGCCCGGGCTGTCGTGCCCTGGAGAGGTGTTGGTGTTGGCCCACTGGGCTTCGACTCCAACCACGGCTGCCCTCCACGGAGTCCTGCCACCCTGTGCCCCAGTAGAAGACCCTCCCCTCAGGGCCTGGGGAAGGCTTGTGTCTGCCTGGAGGAGGAGGCAAGGCCAGATCTCGCCACATGCAGAACTGTCACCCAGCCAGGGTCCAGCCCGACCCCAGGGCCATGCACAGCAGGAGGCAGATTTCTTTTTTATTTTTTGAGACAGAGTCTCACTCTGTTGCCCTGGCTACAGTGCAGTGGCGTCAGCCTAGCTCACAGCAACCTCAAACTCCTGGGCTCAAGCAATCCTCCTGCCTCAGCCTCTCCAGCAGCTGGGACTACAGGCATGTGCCACCATGCCCGGCTAATTTTTTTCTATTTTTGGTAGAGACAGGGTCTCGCTCTTGCTCAGGCTGGTCTCGAACTCCCGAGCTCAAACTATCTGCCCGCCTCGGCCTCCCAGAGTGCTAGGATTACAGGCGTGAGCCACCACGCCTGGACCAGGAGGCAGATTTTAACTCAGTGTGAAAAGGCACCGTGTCCCACCGCTCCACGCCACCGGGGTAGCTGGAATCAAAACATGCAAAGCCGCAAGCGCTGGGGGCGTTAGCGGAGAGGCTGGTGGAAACCCAAACGGCTCAGGAGCTGCAGAAAATGGTTTGCTGGTTCCTTGCAAAGTTAAGATAGAATTGCCATAGGGTCCAGCCATTCCACTCTTAGCTATGTTGCCAAAGAACTGACAACAGGGACTCCGACAAGCTCGTGTGCAAGCGTGTTCACAGCGGCACTGCTCACACCTCCTAGCGCTTTCTGCCCTTAGCGGCGAACAGCAAGAGGCCCAAGCGCCCGCCCGAGGGTGGGTGGACGAGCAGAGTGAGGTCCCTCATGCAGCAGAATGTCATTCAGCCACACAAAGGCGAGAGGCGCTGACACAGGCCTCCACGCGGCTGCGTCAAAAAAGCCAGACACCAAGGCCACGTGTCCTGCGGCTCCACGCACAAGCAATGCCCCGAGCAGGCAAACCCACAGAGACGGAGACAGGAGTGGCGGTCGGTCGCCAGGGGCTGGGGCCGGCAGGCTGCGGAGTGACGGCTTGTGGGACCGGGTTTTACCTGGAGTGAAGCGAATGTTCTGGAACTAGAAGGAGTGGTGGTTGTACAACATGGCGAAAGTACTAAATGCCACCGAATCACCCACTTTAAGCTGGTTGGTTTTTGCGCTACGTGGATTCCAGCTTAGCGTTTGAATAAAAGCAGCACGCCGGTCATGCAGGGGTGCGCAGGGCTCCAGAGGGCCCAGCCTGGTTGCAGGGATGGGACCCTGCAGGGCGCAGTGGCACTTGGTAGGGAGGAGGGACCCTGCAGGGCACAGCGGCACTCAGGAGGGAGGAGGGACCCTGCAGGGCGCAGTGGTACTCTGGGAGGGAGGAGGGACCCTGCAGGGCACAGCGGCACTCAGGAGGGAGGAGGGACCCTGCAGGGCGCAGTGGCACTCCGGGAGGGAGGAGGGACCCTGCAGGGCGCAGTGGCACTCCGGGAGGGAGGAGGGACCCTGCAGGGCGCAGTGGTACTCCGGGAGGGAGGAGGGACCCTGCAGGACACAGTGGCACTCCGGGAGGGAGGAGGGACTCTGCAGGGCGCAGTGGCACTCCGGGAGGGAGGAGGGACCCTGCAGGGTCTCAGCATCCTAAGTGGGACCATCCTGGTTAACCCACCATGGTCTCAATGTCCCTCTCAGTGCTCCTGGTGTGAACCACAGACGTCACCCGGGCCCTCTGGCTCCTCCAGGGCCAGTGAGGCCCGCCGCCCCCACCCGCCCCCACCCGCCCGGGGAAGCCGGCCTACCTGGGCGTTGCACATCTCTGCCTGCAGGTCGGCACCAGCGCACGCGCGCCCCCCAAAGGCAGGTCTGAGAATGCCCACAAGGCGGGAGGGTGAGAGGCGACCGACCCCCCCCAACCAGGCAACAGGGTGCGGCTGCCCTCCCTGACCGGAGAACGGCACCCCTCGAAGGCTACCTGGGGTTGTTGCACCGTCGCCTCCGGGTGACCACACCTCCTCCACAGGAGCGGGAGCAAGGACTTGGGGGGCCCCAGCTGGACCAGTGCCCGTGCACGGCCGCCACGGGGCCCAGCGCCAGCAGCGAGAGGCAGCGGCCCCTGGAGCACCACTGCAAGGCAAGCGCTGCAGGTCTCCCACCACAGGGCCTGCCGCCACTCAGGGACCCTCCCCAGGGACCCCAGCACACAGGGACCCCCAACACACACAGGGACCTCAGCACACAGGGACCCCGCAACACACAGGCACCCCAGCACACAGGGACCCCCAACACACAGGGACCCCAGCGCACAGGGACCCCAGCACACAGGGACCCCAGCGCACAGGGACCCCAGCGCACAGGGACCCCAGCACACAGGGACCCCCAACACACAGGGACCCCAGCACACAGGGACCCCGCAACACACAGAGACCCCTCAACACACAGGGACCTCAGCACACAGGGACCTCAGCACACAGGGACCCCAGCACACAGGGACCCCAGCACACACGGACCCCGCAACACACAGGGACCCCAGCACACATGGACCCCGCAACACACAGGGACCCCAGCACACAGGGACCCCAGCACACACGGACCCCGCAACACACAGGGACCCCAGCACACATGGACCCCGCAACACACAGGGACCCCAGCACACACGGACCCCGCAACACACAGGGACCTCAGCACACAGGGACCCCAGCACACAGGGACCTCAGCACACAGGGACCCCGCAACACACACAGGGACCCCAGCACACAGGGACCCCTCAACACACAGGGACCCCAGCACACAGGGACCCTGTAACACACACAGGGACCCCAGCACACAGGGACCCCTCAACACACACAGGGACCCCAGCACACAGGGACCCCAACACACAGGGAACCCTCAACACACACAGGGACCCCAGCACACAGGGACACCTCAACACACACAGGGACCCCTCAACACACACAGGGACCCCAGCACACAGGACCCCCTCAACACACACAGGGACTCCTCAACACACACAGGGACCAAGGGAACCCCCTGAGCACAACAGAGACCTCAACACCACCAGCAGGGCGCCGAGCCCCTCACACCACACAGGACCCGCTCAACACACCACAGGGACCAGCAACACAGCGAACCCTACACACACGGGACTCACCTCAAACACACCCACAGGGACGCTCCGTGAACAGAAGCACAGAGCACCTGCAACACCACACAGGGACCCCCGTTCCAACACACAACCCAGGGACCCCAGCACGACAGGGACCACCAATATATACAACACACACAGGGACCTCCCAACACCACAGGACCCCACGCAGCGACAGGGACCCCGTAACACACACCGAGGGACCAGCCAGCAGCACAGGGACCCCTCCCAAGCCACACACAGGGACCCCCTCAACGACACACAGAGGACCCCTGCAACATAACACAGGACCCTACAAAACAGCAACACAGGGATTCACACACCACACAGGGACGCCAAAAAAGCACCACGGGCGCCTCAACCCATAGGCAGGGACCTCAGCACACAGGGACCCCCTCCACAACAACACACAGGGACCCCTCAAACACACACAGGGACCCCTCAACATACCACAGGGACCCCTCAAGCACCACAGGGGACC